TTTTTTTCCCTATAATCATTGTTTGGTATTCGAGATTAATATGTCACGGGATGCGGGATCATTCATACATTCTTTCTATATATTAACTGTCATTACGTAACTAAAGTTTATTAATATAAACAAAAAATACAAAGAGGCGAAATTCAATTGAGCCGCACTATATATGTAAATAAGCCTGTATCTCTGAGTCTGACAAAAGTCCGTACTTTTCATATGCAACATAGAAGAAAACATTGTTGCTTTTTAAAAAAATGATTGTTTCTAATAAGATGTGAAAACTTAATTTATTCTTGACTAAGGACTGAACCATTGAAAAAGAACGAGCGATTCGATTTTCACTGGCTTCGGTTAGTACTTATGAGAAATGATGGTGATAATTACTCTTAGGTCATTATAAGAACATAAAGATGGATAAGAGAGATAGATATACAGTTACGGATAATTTGTAATATAGAGCATAGTCAAAAAAATACTATTTCACCATGAGATATCTGTAAATGAAAAATAATCTATAAAATGTCAGAAAAGGAAATTGTATTATCCAGACATAAAGCTCTAAAATTAATAATTTTAATTGAAAATCTACTCACAAAATAATAAAGGCTACTACTATAATAGTCACTCACCTTTTCCCCAATGTTTTGTGGTTGCGTTACGACTACGTTGACCACTTTAACTTGTGTTTGTTGTGCTCGACTGGCGCCGGTTGCATTGTCCAACTGTTGTTGCAGCTAACAGATGAAAGAGGTTATTATACTGTGTATAATTAATAATAAATTCACCATATATATACGATAAGTCTACTTCTTACTATATTTTGTAACACCCCATACCTTGATTGTGATACCTGACCATTAATAATCAGTAACCCATCGGATGCAGGCAGATTGTAAATTGTTTGAATAATACCACTTTCTCCTAAAAATAACATAGAATTCTTTAACACTTACTAACAGTTGTACAGTGAACTTACGTTGACGGCCATTGATACCATGTCTTTGTAAATACACAGGAATTAGGGCGGTCACGATTATGCCTGCAAATATTAAACCGAGCAGACCGAAACAACACAAGGCCAGTAATGGTAGACCTCCAACCCAGTGAAAAAAAATGAGCGTGATTCCGCAGGTTCCTGCGGGAAAATATTTTTTCGTCGGGAGTTTCAATTTTTCTGCAGAAAATTTTCAGTTTTCGGCGGGGAAACGCTGATTCACGACGAAATGTTTTTTCGGAACGTATGCAGACTTATTTTTCTGTAGAAAAATCTGCTTTTCTGCGGAAATTTTCGTGCAGGATTCTGCCGAATATTTTTTCAGCAGAAATGTTCTTTATTCTGCTTAGTTTTTCATGCAGGATTCTGCCGAATATTTTTTCCGCAGAAACACTCATATTTTTGCCGAAACAATTCCCAAGGAAATCTTCTCGTTTTTCTGCATGTGTTGTTCAACCTCTGACTGGTTCTTCGTCGTAGAATTTATTTTCAATAGTATGTGTATGAATCAAACAAGATAAA